CATGTAGGCTAGCCGGTCAGCGCGGCCTGCTAAGGCGGTCATAGGACCAAAAAAGTAATTTTTTTCACCTAGAGGACCATTTCCAAAAGAAGACCTTCACCAAGATCGAAAGGTTACCAGAGTATGTTAGGGGACCAAAATAACTTATTTTTCTTATCTTACATATATAAAATATAAAATAATGATATTTATCCTTATAAATAAGATTAAATTTATTTATCCAAAGATATTAAAAAATATCAAATAAAACTATAAATTGTCTTATAAAGTTAAAAAAAATATTTGTATAAACATACCATGATTTGGGGAAAATATATATAAACTAAGTATAAACATAGAACTAGTATAACACAGCTTTTTATGGCTCAACTCAAATAAAAACTGCATGGAGTTTTAACACAATAATGATATTGAAAACAAACAAATTTAAATGAGTATAATAATTAAAAATAATTATTATATTTCATAAATTTTAATAATATTACCATTATACACATTATACTTTGAAGTATTGGATATTATAAAGTTGAGGATATTTGAAAAAGTAATAGTTGAGGAAAGAATAAAGTGTCATGTAATATAACCAAACTTGGAAAAAGTTAAATTAATTCAAAGTTAAATTATTGTGTTGTAGATATATCACACTCAGAAACACACATAGGATTAAAAAGAATTACCATTTTCATAAATGAATTTAAAACATGGGTGTCATTATGTATAATTGACCTTGTTAATGTTTAATTATTGTAAGAAATGGGGGATAAAACAGGTGCGGCCTTACGAAGATGAAACACCATGATAGGGAAAGCCCAGATGAAGCCCAAGTGGGATTCCATTCTAAAACCAATTATTGGAAAGAGGAGTAGCCAATTAGACTTATAAATTAGACCTATTTTCCCTATATAAAGAACATGTGACAACTCACAAGTGAATATTCTAATACGCCCCCTCACTTATGAGTCCTTAATAAGAAAGTCCAAGCCCATATACGGAGCTGGGTGCCCAAGCCCTACTTGAAACAAGCTCCCATAAACGGGTACGTGGGAAAACAGGTACGTCATCACACGGTCCCACATAGAACCGCCTCTGATACCATGTAAGAAACGGGGGAAAAAACAGGTGGGGTCCCACGCAGATGAAGCGCACCATGACAGAGAAAGTTCCAAATGAAGGCCAAATGGGGTTCCATCCCAAAACCAATTAGTGGAAGGATGAGTAGCCCATTAGACTTATATTAGACCTATTTTCCCTATATAAAGGATGTGAGACAACTCACAAGTGAATATTCTAATAATTATTAATTTTATATTTAATATTTTATTATTCTATTATAACAATATAAATTTTTTTACTTCTTTATTTTGATATTTTTTTTTCATGCCCTCATGTTGTTCATGGGAGTTCGAGTAAATTAGCTATTCTATTTAATTTGATAAAAATGTATATATCTTAAATGGACAAAAAAATATTTTGTAAAAAATGTATTCTAGAATTCAAAATAATATAACAAATTTATTACTTTTTTATTACGTATCAATAATTTTTTATTTAATAACAATAATATAAATTTAAATTTGAATTTTTTGTTGCACAATTATTTTTTATTTTATTTTATCAAATACCCGTGTAGTTCATGGGGCACTATACTAGTTACTATAATTAGGAGTTGTATTCAATTAAGATTCTTAAAGTATTCATAAAATTTTTTAAATCGAGTGACTTTGGTCGACTTTGTAAAACTTTCACAACTTTATGGACATTTTGAGACATTCACATAATTCATATTTGAGACTTTTGAAGACTTTTACCATGGACTTTTTGAAACTTATTAAGACTTTTATATACTTGTAATTATAGCTATTATGTTTGAATGAAATATTCATGAACGTTGTATAACAACTAATATCAATAAAGTCAAGCTAGTTTTTTCATTAAAGAATAACATTAAATAAAAATGAGTTATGATGGTAAACATTAAGGTGTAGAGTAGTATTTAATTATTATTATTATTATCATTTAATATTATTATTTAATAATTAGCTTGGAGGACAAGTTAGGTTTTTGTTTAGGGATCCTTATATAAAGCACTTCACATCTATGGTTTTATTCAGTTGATATTAAACAAGAAATTGATTAGTTTTATTGTGTTTTGAGACTGAAATCTCGTTCTATCCTTTCCACTCGTACGCGTCCTTACATCACATTAGCTATTCAATAAGAATAAAAAAAAAGTATTGTAGGTAAATCATAAAAAAATTATATATCAATCATAGAATTGTCATTCGAACTGAGCTATTTACGACAACTTGTTTATGGTTTTAGGTTTATTAAACAAGCAAGCCAATTCGAGCTTTCACGAGCTTCAGCGAGTTGACCTCGAGAAAGACCTTATATTCGTTTGTCAAACAAACACAAACTTAAACATGTGTTATACATCTCTGCTACAATGACAACTATAATCAAATCAATCAAGATATAATTATTGATTAGTTTCATTTTTTATTTTTTTCATCATGTTGCAATGTTAGAAAAATATAATTAGTATATAATTTCACAAGATACAACATTATCAAAAGACAATATTTATCTTCTAAAGTTAGCAATGATACTCAAAATAATACTATATAAACAAATAAACTCTTACCAAATATAATAAATATTTTAATACTAGAAAAAATTATAAAAAAAAAAAGAGAGAATAGATAAATTATTGGCATGTGCTAAACATACAAGCATTTAACCTTTGAAGAGTCAAATTCACAAGTAAGAAAACCGAAGAATAAAAGTATACACACAAAAAATAATCATAACAAAACAACAACAACAACAATATTTTGTGAATATTGTATTTTTGGTATAGATAGTTTTGGTTACCTTAG